AATTAAGTAGTAACTGTTTCAGCAGAGAAGAATTAAATTAAAAATATATACCTATGTCTTTTTTTGGCATTTGTAGCCTTACTTTTTCACAGTTGCTTGGTCATTGTTAGAATAAAGTAAAAAACTGATTAAAAGACTTTGTCTTCTATCGAAATTGTTTTAGTTTAAGATGTAATGTTATTTAGATTATGCATTATAGTGTAAAAAAGTCAAGGGGACAGAAGTGACTCTTATAATGAAATAAACATTTTGCCAGTCACTTGCCAATGAAAATTATTGCTTGTCTTGTATTTGAACATTCATTTTGCAAAATTTAAATCATAAAAAATTATTCAGAAATACTTATTACAACGTATTGCAAACAAAATAAAATCGCAAAATTTTCTTAATTTTTTAAAGCTAAGGGAGAAATACCCATATGTATACATTTTTCTATAGCATAATATTTGTGAAGAGGCAAAACCTCTATGGAATGTTGTATTCTTTTGGTTTTTTAAATATTTCATTCATTCATTCACTTCCTAAAAATGGAGCATCTAGACACCTCTCGGCGACGTTATTAACATGCAGGACTTTGACCTGGGAGGCTGGATATCCCTTGACACCCCCCAGCAACAACCAGCATGTTTCTGATGAGTTAATAACCTGCAGGACTTTGACGAGCCGAAAACGTGGCTGTCTGTAGATACCCCTCAGCGTCAGCAGCAGGTTTTTGACGAGTTGATAACCTAGAGGACTTTGATGAGCTGGGAAGATGGCGGCAACCAGCAAGTTGAGAGGCAGGTTCTGTATGCCCCTGGATAATGTATAATAAGCTTTATGCAGCTTAAGAGCTGTGGAGAACCATCTTTCCAATATATCAAAAAGGACTGCTACCCCTTTAAACCAACTTAGACCCCTCTCAAGGAAATAAGACTTTTCTCAAATTATTTATAATATTATAATTTACTTGTATACCGATTTTAAGACCCTACTGATCTATCGAGCATCTTCGGGAAATTGGGCGCTAGCGTTTGGCTGCCAAGTTCACACCGGTTGATCCTTTTAGAAGCGAATAAATGTTAAACAACTCTTAGGTATTCCAAACAAAATGGTTGCGCGTAGGTGGTGAGAGGCACATGATAGTTTATGATATAGCAACACTGGGCCTGGTGATTTGACTGGGTCAATGCGATATAGAAAGTTATATAGATTGATCATCTATGGTTTGAAAATAAACCTATAAGCTTATGCCTTGAAGTAAAAATTTAGGGATTTATCATTTTTAACATATTCAAAGGGTGAAAATTGGTTTTAAAACACATTTTTGCTATACCAATTCAAATTAATGAACACTTGCCCGGCAATATGGCCGCTCGCAAACGACCCGCTTTGAGCAATCTATACAGTGCTTCTCAAAAGTCCCCTCCCCCCTCTTTTCTTTGGAACGGTGATACCTAGACTGATTAAATTTGGAGGGTGGAAATGAACTATTGTAAGCTTCTCTACTAGTGGTAATAGGTGACGTAATATGTGACGTCACCAGGCAACTGAAACCAATGATATTAAAAAAAACATCGTAAATCCAAAAAAAATAGTATGACTAAATAGGTATTCTAAATACCTTTCAAACGAGATGTCACTTGCCATAAGGTCCCATTTAATATTATTGGTTTCAGTTGCCTGGTGACGTCACCGATGCCTATTACGTCACCTCTGTTACCACTAGTAGACAAGCTTACAATAGTTCATTTTTACCCTTCAAATTTCATCAGTCTAAGTACCACCGTTCAAAAGAAAAGAGGGGGGAGGGGACTTTTGAGAAGCACTGTATATATATATATATATGTATCACTGACACTGTCAATGACAACAGGCCCACAGGGTTGCCATATCTAAACTGTCAGATCCCAGTGACAGCATTTTGACAGGTCGTTGGAATGCCTAATTAAATCGTGACTTACCAGCTCAGATCGGAGTAATCAGCGTAGTCGAGGTAAGTAGTTTGAACACATGTATCATTGGTTCTTGCGTTTTTTCCACTTTAAACTGATCGGTAATATTATAGATAGTAGGTAGTAGGTGAGAGTGAGTGTAGATTCTGTGAGAAGGAGGACGAAACCTCCATTCACATTGTAGCACTCCAGAATCCAAGGGCACTATATCAAATAGAAGAGGGAGATTTACCAAACTTGAAGCCACTCCAAATCCTACACTTCCTTGAGAAAATAGGATTGAAAGGGTCATTATAGGCATTGAGATATTTCCTTGGTGCATTAGCAACAGAAGGGGACACAATAGATCTTTTAGGTCGCAGTGTATTAACACCTCATTCCCAACCTATGTTAATAGGTAGGGTTTGATACCGGCATGTCATAGACTGATGTACTTGTGTGAATGTTATCTATAAATGTGTGAGAAATATTATTTCCGAAAAAATTATTAAAATACATTTTTAAATCGACCTTTTCCAATTGAATCGATTTTTAACCTCAAAGATGGAACAGCATAATTAGGGGTACGACTTCTAGAAGAGTTTACAAAACTATTTTCATCGAAATTCTAATAAGCTATAACATTGTTCTGCCATAAAATGAGTATATTTATGGGATCCTGTAAAGCCTAGAATTATTTTCCAAATTTGGCACCTACAAAACATTTTATATTGTTTGGGAAAAGGTAAATGTTTTGTAAACAAATGGCTTATTATTGTTGATGACTTCATTAAGGCCACTGATCAGGGAAAATGTACTTTATTAGTTATGTTAGATTTTAGTCGGGCATTTGATACTCTTCATCATAATCTACTAATATGTATGTTGCAGTATATAGGCTTTTCGGAAAATGCTCAATTACTAATAAATAATTATCTTAAATTTAGACAATAAAACGTTTGCATAAATAATGTATCTTCAGACTATCTCAATTTAAGATAGGGGGTTCCTCATGTGTCAATCCTTGGACCTTTATTATTCTGTATACAGGGTGTAACTAAATAAGTGTAAAACATTTAAGGGGGTGATGATTCCTCATCGAAAAAAAGATAGGATCTTTCATATAAAGAAACTTCATTGGAGCATCCCTTGTTAAGATACAGCCCCTTAAAGGAGGTACATAAAATTTGTTTAACAATTTTTTTCACAAGCACTAAACAAGTTACAATATTGAAATTAACCTGACATTTTCTACTACCAAAAAGACACTTAGCCAGTAATTTATTTGGTTTACCCCATGGTTGTAAGGGGTGGAAAACGCAACCCCTAAAATTTCGTTCCAACGTAACTTTTTGTCTACCATTTAAAATTTTATTTCCGATAGTATGTTTCATTCTAAACAAAAAATGTCTCTTGAATTTTTTGCCCAAAATAAACCAGTTCGCAGCAAAAAATTATTTTACGAACAAGATAGATATAGCTATCATCAGCTCAAAAATGGTCTGGTTATGCCTAGTAAAATTGAACGAGCTAGGCGAGAAAAATAGAGTTAGTCTTACTTGGGTGCCGGGACATAACGAATAACAGAGTTGAGATTCCAGATAGTCTCGCAAGGAAAGGGGCTCAAATACCCTTCGTGGGACCTGAACCGTTCTGCGGTATCAGCAGTAACATAATATTAGGAGAGATTAAAAAAGAATTGGGCAGTAGAAGAACCGATACTTGGAACAATCTCTTGGAGCTGAGACAGGTTAAGATTCTTCTGGGTGAATATAACCAGAAAAGATCAGAAGCCTGCATCTGCCTGAGCAAGAACAGGCTACGTATTGTAACAAGGATCCTTACTGGGCATTTCCGACTATAAGGATACGCTTAGTTAACTGAGAGTAGTAGAAGATAGTGAGTGCAGATTCTGTGGAGGAGGACGCGAAACCTCCATTCACATCCTAACCGAATGTGTAGCACTCCAGAATCCAATGGCAATATATCTAGGACTATATAAAATAGAAGAGGGAGATTTACCTAGCTTGAAGCAACTCAAAATCCTACACTTTCCTAAGAAGATAGGATTTGAAGGGTCGTTATAGGCATCGAGACATTTTCTTACTGCATTATCGACAGAAGGGGACACAATAGATCTATTAGGTCGCAGTGTATTCACACCCCATTCCCAACATAACATATGGCATGCCAGGTCGATAGGTGTTAGATGGGGATGGAAGTTTAGGAACATGGTTTCAGCAGAACGGTGGCACTTACTATATATATAGCTCCTAAAACATTCACTGTCTTGCACGAGTCTTTTCATGAGAGTTCGATTTTCCGATTTGGCGAGGTGAATTGACCGTTACGCTCTTGCGATTTTCACCATTGGTTCTCTTAAACTTACGACTACCGAAGCATTGAATGCCGAATTTAGACACTTTATCAATAAACTACTGTAACATATGCAACAAGATAATTAAAAATTTCACAAAAAGAGTACGCATGTGCCAACAAAGCTTTGGCGGCCATTTACCAGATGGGTTTTCCATACATATTTCCCAAATGTCTACATTATAATACAATAAATATTTAAAAACTTACAAAAAAACATGTTCCATTCAAGCTTCAAATTTTGCGCTATTATTGAAACACGCTAATTTTTTTTTTGTTTCTCGATTTTAACATCACCTTATAAGTTTACGCTGCTTGCTTCCTTATGGATCTGATTTATGTTGAGGTAACTGACCTCTGTTTGGTACCTACTTTGTAAATTATTCGTCTCTGTAAAATTCAAAGGATGTTCATTTTTCTTGGAAGTCTTCATCTTTTCTAGCTTAATGCAGATTTTATGAAAGTTAGGAGAACGAAGGTTTCTTGATTATTATTTAAAAATTACGTAAAAAATGTTAAAGAGTAGATAAAACAGGTACAAAACTAAGGAAAACATTGGTCCATCTATTAATACCTAATAAATAACATCAGATACACAGACATCATCGCCAAAATGGATTGAGGGAACCCCAGAAACTGAAGATCCGTCTGAAAAAATAATGATTCCCTTACACGAAATTTACTAGACATTTTACTTTAAGATTAACAACAATGCTATTTTATACAGGGGCAAAAGAGTACAAAAAAGGTGGAGGAAAAGAACACCATTCCAGCCACAAGGGCGAAAAGGGGGAGAAAGGCGATAAAGGTTACAAAGGTCATCATTATAATGAAAAGGGGGAAAAAGGACATAAAACTAAAGAGGACCACGACAAAGAATACGAAGAAAAAGGTGGCCACAAAAAGAAACATCACCATGATGATGGTTACGCGGCCGAACATCACCAAGGAGAAAAAGGTCATAAGTCATCGAAGGTCAGTATTACTTATTCATTTGTTATTTAACGTTTACCTATGAAAAATCGTTAACAGATTATGGTAATAGTTATTTATGTACCAAGTCAGCAAAGCGATTCTTTATCGAACTATAATCTGAGATTATGAGCCGAGCGAGAGGAGCGAGTAACAGGCGAATTTGATAAACACTTTGCTGACATGGCCTATATAAACTTTTATCGCCAACCGTAAATAATTATAATTAATATAAGATATAACATCACATAAAATATTTGAATTTTACAGTGAGATAATGTTTACTTCCGCAAAATCGCTATGGTAATGCATGGCTTTATTGACGGTTGGCGAAAATAGTTATTTATTTACCTAAACATTTGAATTGTTTATAGTATCATGAAAATGGCGATCATTCCAAAGGTCACAGCACCAAAGGAGAACACATCATTCATAAGAAGGACGAATATGATAAGAGACAAGAATTTTACGATGAAAGCCACGAAGAAGATGGGTTTGAAAAAGATGGAGAATACTTCCATGAAAGCGATTACAAAAAGGTAATATTTTAATGCAATGCCAATCAAACAATCCAAGTTATTAAGTCTGAAAGTGAAATTGTGTAGGATTCTTTAAATTATTTAGTTACTAAAGGCTGAGCCATCGCCGCTAGTTTACTATAAGTTTATGAGCCTCATAGGTTCCACAAGTCTGTCCATTAGTAAATTAAATCGATTGTAGTGTTCCAATTAAAAACCATGATGATTATGCATCTGAAGAACAATCTTATGTTGTACGAGCTAATAAAATGAAATATTTCCGTGTGATGGTAGTAGAGATCGTTTAGATTTAAATAGGAGTGTGGGCCATGTGACCTTCTTCGCCACGCCTTTTCAGATCTATTGTAAATATCCTTTTATCGTTGTTTAGAGCACCTATTCTAGTTTGGTATTTTGTAGTAGACTCCAAGTCTTTTTACAACGGTGTATGAAAAAAAATCACATTCTTAAAAAAAATTGTTTTATCTCATGAAATGATCGAAGAAACGTGATAAACACCTTCTAAGAACAAAAAATGAAGGCAAGATTAGAAAATGTTTTGATTTTTTTTTTATTTATTAGTTCGAGAGAATTTATTATTGTATGGAAGTCAATGGAGGACAATTTGAACATTTGATTTAAAAACGCATTTTTATTTTTTTGATTGTAAGCATGAAAAAACAATTAATTTTTTTTAAGAATGTGATTTTTTTCATACACCGTTTTAAAGAGGCTTCCAAGACCTTACAAATGAAGTATCACTCAACCCCTCTTCCCTATTCAATTTTGAGGGGTTGAAGCGTCCCCTCATAGGGGGTTGCTCGTTCAAGCCTCAAATATACGTCAAAAGATGTCCCCCAAAGAAAATCATCCGACGTGTTTCGGGAAATTTTTCCAATTACTATGGGATAAGAAATATACGGGGTGGCTCGTCTGAGATGGAACACCCTGTATTTTTATTTCAACATAACAAAAAAGAAATGGGTCGAAACTAGTTTAAAAGCCATTTTTCAAATAATAAAATGTTTTAGTTGTTTAAACGAATTTCCATTAATTAATGGTATATTTTTAAGTTTTTTAATTATTTTTATGTAATTAAAATATTTATACTTACAATGGGTCCGTATAAGATTAAGAGTGTCGGAATTAAAAGAAAAAAATTATTGCAATAAAAAGTACTCATTTTATATAGTAAATACCTAAAAAAAATTTGCGGAAAATCCACAAAATTTTGAGAAAAATGAATTAAAAGTTGTAATTTTATAGGTTATTTTGGTTTTATCATACTATTATGTAGGTGACAATTTCGAAGTTTTAATGATATTATAATTGAAGTAACTTACTTTTGTTACATTTTAACTGAAACGTAGGCCGGGCGCGCTCGCTTCGCTCGCTCCCTTTTGCGTAAGGGTGCTCTAAGAGGGAAAATGGGACGCCCGGCATACGTTTCAAAATTTGCGCGAGTTTCGAAAAGTAGGGCGGGCGCGCTCGCTTCGCTCTCTTCTGCGTAAGCCTGCTCTTATGGTGTAGGTGAAAAAAAGTGGAAAAAGGGCGCGCCCGTCCTACGTTTCGAAATTAGCGCAAATTTCGAAACATAGGCCCTTCGCTCGCTCTCTTCTGTAGTGGTTAGGAGGTGGGTGAGACGAGCGTAGCATGATCTTATGATGTAGATGGAAAAGACACGCTCGGCCGACGTTAGGATAGGCAAAGACGTTGTTTGCATCTAAATTGTCATTTCACTAACTTATTCCTACTCATCCATTCCAACAACTATTCATCAGTTTTATTATAAACTCTCATAACATCTATTATGTAATTAAATTCCATTTTACATAAAGTAGGTAAGTACTACTTAAAAGATTTAAATGCCACACCACAAAAATTTAAAAGTAAAAAATCACAGATACGTATATCTCTTTTCATATCAATACCATAATTGTTTTGTGAATAATACATACATGTTCTATGTCAATAATAAGGCAAATAAGCTAAAATAAACTGCAATTTTTGATAAAATTTTTCTTAAAAATTCGTGATTTTTCATAAATTTTTAACTTACTGTATAAAACAAGTACTTTTTAGTGCTTCAAATTAGCTCTGAACTCTCATCTATCTATAAAGTCTAGACACATAAAACCTGGAGAAACTTTGTTAATATGGCAACGGTGCAAACTCAACTACCCCATGTGTCATGTGCCAACAAAGGTAATATGATGATTTATTTTTTTCATTTTATGTTTTGTGGAAGTAAATGGTTAAATAGACAATACAATGCATTTAATTTTAATATAAATTAAATTAGCAAATGCAAAATAATTTTCCATAGATATCTAATTTCAGTTAAAACGTAACAAAAGTAAGTTACTTCAATTATAATATCATTAAAACTTCGAAATTGTCACCTACATAATAGTATGATAAAACCAAAATAATCTATAAAATTACAACTTTTAATTCATTTTTCTCAAAATTTTGTGGATTTTCCGCAAATTTTTTTTTTAGGTATTTACTATATAAAATGAGTACTTTTTATTGCCATAATGTTTTTCTTTTAATTCCGACACTCTTAATCTTATACGGACCCCTTACAATTTTACTGCATGCTGAGCAAAATACTTTTCCTAAATCTACGTACAATTCTGGATATGGCTTGATCCACGTAAACACATTTGCTTCTTTCGACATTTTCACTACACTCGATAAATGTTTTGACACTTTCAAAATATAAACTAAACTACTAAGATTGACATTTACAATATTTAAGTACATGCAACCAGTAAAATCTGTCATTTAATTCAAAACAAAATAAGAGGTCATCTAACAAGTCTTGGGATTTCCTAATTTCTACTTTCAGGTACAAAGGAATTTTTAGCGGATTAAGATAAGAATAAAACTATTTTGTAAATATTAGGCATGAACTTAGTATGAAGGATTTAAATAACGAATAAATTCGTTTTATAAAAGCATTATATGCATTTTTTGTATATGCAAAATCAAAAAAAAAAAGTCTAAAATATGCAAATGCATATGTAGGTATATGCACTTTTGCATATTTGCCAGACTCTGTTTATACCTATAATAAAAATATAACACAAAATGACTAACGATTCATCAGTCGCAATCGCGTAAAATGTTTTTTTCTACACCAACATGGATATTAGCTTATCTATTCACAGACTACAAAACGAAAAAGTATGCTCTATTGCAGGGGTGGCCAACTTTTCTGTATATAAGATCTCTACTTTTTATCTTAAAAGTATGTCGCGATCATTGAGATAGAATAAAGAGGAGATGCTATGACAATGCTAAAGTGTCCGCACCTTTGAATTACACTTTTACGTCATATGTCAAACTCAAGATAGTGAAACTAGTCAGTTTTGGTAAAAATAAATAAAATTATTTTCATTCAGTCAGTCTTCAAATATAAAATTATTGACACTTTTCCGACAATCAAATCGTTTCGTTTATTTTACATAATTTAAGTAGTACATTAACAGAACATTGTTTGGAATGGATTCTCTTAAGTCACGAGTGACTTGTCGAGAGTACATCCACAGTCATTGGGATACTTACCTATCAATTTAACATAATAATACATATAAAATACAAAATAATTTTCTAATAATTATAGAATAAATAAAAATAATCTTGTCAGAACCCAATTATAGGCTGATGCGTCAGTCTCCGCCAGCTGAGTGATACCAAAGACGAAATACTAACCATCCAGATAACTGATAGTTTATATAGATATTACTTTTCTTTTTTTTAAATTTATAACTTTAAAATAATTTACTTTAAAAAAGGCAACTTTGTAATTAGGCATTCCAACGACCTGTCTATGGAGGGTAGATAAAAGGAAGACAATCTTATATGGATCTTTATATTAAAAAGTGGCCACCAAAATGTATACAATTAAGATGGCGCTCGTGTAGCCAGGGGACAAAATCCAATGCTATATAGTCATATAGATTGCTCATTCATAAGAATTATTTATTGTTTATATTATTTTTCAATAAAATTTGACTATTGTCGTGTATTGTCAAAATTTATCTACGATCACAGAACATTTACTCTTCTACGACCAGTCACTTTTCACGGTGTAGTTTTTAGTTTTTTATGGTTGAGCAATATTTATTACTATATACATCATTGGTGTCATTGTGTGATCTGAATTATCGACTGTCGACGTCCCCTGGGCACAGAAGCGCCATCTTAATTGTATACATTTTGAGGGACATTTTTTGTATAGAGATTGTTCTCCTTTCCTCTACCCTCCATAGACCTGTCAAACAATAGGTGCCAGTGGGAAATTCTTGTATATCTAAGAGGGTAGCGACATAATCTTGCAACTTGGACGCTATTTTTATTCGAAGTAGTAGTCGCCAAGCCTGCCAATTTATGAAGAAATGTATAGGTGGGTTTTTTAAATATTATTTTTATTGTGTTTGACATAAAATATTTAAATGTTATCCATTATTTATGATTTTACGTAAAGTAGGTAAAATACACCGTATGTCGCCACCCTTAGATATACCAAACCTTCCCACTGGCAATTCATTTGTTTGGAATGCCTAATTATTGTCTCACTGTTTTCTTTGATCCAGTGAGAAGCTTTTACATTAAACATTTTTCTATTTATTATATTTATATTTTTGTGCTCCCATCTGTCATAACGCAAAATAATGTTTATGTCGTCTCTACTTTATTCTATCTCGATGGTCGCGATCACAAAGCACGTATCTTCTAGAGACCCCACGCCAATGTTAAACCGTTGTATGAAGATATCATACAACGGTTAAACTTTTAAACCAAATTAGCGCCACCTTGAGTTTGGAGCAGGAACTAAAATGACAATTGACAGATGGCGGTAAATTCAAATTGTAATTTTTAGGAGTAGGTAATAGTTTTAAATTAAATTTTAAATTATTTCCACATAAATTATTTTATAAAATAAAGTATGGAACTAGTAAGTTCGAAACTTTTATTTTACAAAATAATTTAGGTCGATTATACCAAATTTGAGGAATTAATTTGTTATAAGGGGTCTGAGTGGAGAGTTGGTTTTGCATATTATTATTAAATAAATATAAGATATATCAATAAATAATAAAATAGAACATTCTTAATATGTTTATTAATAACTTGAATAAATATTATTAGATAAAAATAAATACAAATAATAATACATATATTTAACGAATACTTACTTGGAGCAAATCTTTAAAATACCTATCAATAATTTAAATGTGAAGTAGAGACTAGGATATTACATTTTATTAACACTAAAGTAATATATTTTATAAATGTCTTTTTAACCGAGGACAAATGTAATATAGGTATTGTATTAAAAGGTGAATCCTTTTAACTATTCATTCGATGATAAATAGGTATTTTCCTTCCAAATACAGATGGTGGTATTACTCTCTTATGTGAAAAATGATTTCGGAATCCAGTCCATAGTGATAAATTGATTATCAATTAGTTGTTGTACCCGTTTGTGTTTTTATGATGCATGGTGAATCTATGAAGTTTTTCTCGAAGTTTTCATGGTAGCACCAAAATTATTGCAAAACACAGTAGGAAATAGAAAAGCAAAACATCACAATTTTGCAAATAACTAAGACGAAACTATAAACAGAAACCAAAAGCCAAAGCGAACAAAAAATCACTAAAATCAGACGGAAAAATGAGACTACCCAAAAACATAAATAAATACACGTCATATATTTGGATTCTTTGGTTAAGTTTTTCTCCCATAAAGCTTAAAAATGGAGTAAGAAATCATAATTTCACCAGTAGCCCCATCTAGAGTTTGGAGCAAATAGCAATAAAAAATGTCAGTTGTCGGTTTTGACCTTGGTCATTCACGTGGAACCTCTATGTGCTTTGTGGTCGCGATCGACTTGTTGTCATAGGCGTAGTCTAAGGGGAAAAAGGGGTGTGAAATGCATACTATGTTTACACACTGTGTTGCAGTATAAGATTTTTTTTAATTCATAACAGCAAGTAGTTTGATATATTAAAAAAAAAAAAATATTAGTATAACTAAGGCGTTACAGGATCACAATAGTAAGCTAGTCGGATAACTTGGGTTCTGAAGAAGTAGTCAAAGAAGAAGTGATCGACAATGACCGGAAGGTGCGTGACAGAGCTGTATCCACCTCTCTAGGTAAGCAGAGGTAAAATAAATGTCGCCGAAGGTAGGAAAAGGTAGCCAGATGTCATAAGTACAGAGGTGTCACCTATACAGGTGAACCTGAAGAGTAATGACGAGCCTCGTCTAGCTTAGAAAAGAGGAAGAACATCAAAGATGATCAAACCTGAGTAAGACCTAAACAAAAACAGATCAAGACGATTTGTTTTTGATCAGGTATTGATTTATTTTTAATCAGATCTTGATTATATAGTTTTTAATCAGGACTTGATCAGCTTCGATCTTCTTTTATTCAATATGGACTACACTAGGCGAGGCTCGTCAATACTCTTCAGGCTCATCTTGACAGGTGACACATATATGCACAACTGTACTTATGACACCTGGCTACCTTTTCCTACCTTCGGCGACATTTATTTTACCTCTGCTTACCTAGAGAGGTGGGTACAGCTCTGTCACGCACCTTCCGGTCATTGTCGATCACTTCTTCTTTTTCGGCTACTTCTTCAGGATCCAAGCCATCCGACTAGATAACTGGATGGATAGCTTACCATTGTGATCCAGTAACGCCTTAGTTATACTATTATTATTTTTTGATTTTGTAGGTAATAAACTAGTAACGAAACAAACATAAAACTCTTTTACTTCAGTGTCACAGCTATCATTTCCATAGGTTCAATGGAATTTCACATCTTAGTTATTGCCGCTGAATAGTTTTTCAGTTCATCAAATGATGCAATGGACATCCCGAAGTAATTAAAATTAGTAGTTTGTGCAACAAGAGTGGATATGATGGCCATATCGCACGAAGACGAAATTTGAGCACGACGCCGTAGGGGGAGTGCTCAATCGTCTGAGTGCAATGTGGACAATCCATTTAAGTTGTATAGTATATTTTTTCTACGACCCACTAACGAAAATTTACAAATAATATTTTAGGTTATATAATAACTAATTTTAAAATAATTTATAGGTTTTATTAATTTTTAAAATAAAATAAACGAAAAAAAAAGAGAAAAAAGTTCATTTCATTTTTCCCCATCCGAGAATCGAACTCAAGTCTTCCGTGTGGAAGGCAAGAACGCTGATCATAGGACCACTTATTCTTTTATTCTTTAATAGTCGTAATTAAATTGGTTCATACAGTTTTATTTAAATTAGCAAATTATTTATAATTATAGACGAAATAAAAACAGAAATACTATTATTTATCGATTCTACACAAGAATAATCCATTTTAATGTATGTTTAATCTCAATAACTAAAAAATATACTGACAATTAGTTTGACAGAATTGTCACTTATTTAAAATTTTAAAATTAATAGCTGTCGGTTGATCAAAATGTGAACGGTGATTAGTAGATTTAATTTTTTTGCTAGAATGAATATAAAATATATTCGTTCAGTTGAAGGCAATATAGCATACTTTCTCGTTTTGTGATCTGTGCGTAGATGAGCTAATGTCTATGTGGGTGTAAAAAATGTTTTTTTCTACACCCACATGGATATTAGCTTATCTGCGCACAGACTACAAAACGAAAAAGTATCTTCTATTGCAGGGGTGGCCAACTTTTCTGTTAATAAGATCTACTTCTCATCTTAAAAGTGTGTCGCGATCGACTTGTTGTCATAGGCGTAGTGTAAGGGAAAAGAAGGGGTGCGAAATGCATACTATGTTTATACACTGTGTTGCAGTATAAGGTAGGGTTGGCACCTTTTTGAAAAGTGAATAAAGGGTTGCTTAAAAAAAACTGACTAAGGTCTTAAGTTTATATTTTTATAAACCAGGTCCTTTTAAAGGACATGTACTGTAAAAAAGGATATGTGCCGTAACAAAGGACATAGGCTCATGAAGAAAATAAATTTCATGACCAAACTTTTGATATCAGCATTTCGTACATGCGGTACCTAAAAAATTCGATTTTCCGACATTTTTTCAAAATAGATTTTTACTAACTTAAACCCCAATTTAATTTTTTATCAACTGCAATGTATAAGTTGAAATATGAAAAAATTGTAACAAAAATCCCTTCAAAGTCCATGGTTTACGGAATTCCACCCCAGACATTGAGAGTGATCGACGATCGACCAAAATTGGTTTCGCCCTTGCTCTATTGCGTTCAACTGAACGAATATATTTCATATCCATTCTAGGCAGTGAGAAAAAAATGAAATCCACCAATCACAGTTCATATTTTGGTCACCCGATTTCTATTATTTTAAAAATTTTAAATAAGTGTCAATTCTGTCAAACTAATTGTCAATATATTTTTGAGATTAAATTTACATTAAAATGAGTGTTATTTTTTGTGTAGAATCTATAAATAATAAATAGCATTCCTATTTTTATTTGGTCCACGTTTAGATATAAATCTTATATTTTAATCAAACTATATGAAACTAATTTAATTAAAAGTATTAAAACTAAAATTCTATATGTGGCAGTGGAGGTGAGGGCACGGCGTTTGTCTTCCACGAGAGAGGCCCGGGTTCAAATCTAGGCTGGGGCTTAATTAAATTAAATCTTTTGTTTTTTCATATTTATTTCATATTTTAAATCAGTAAAAGTCATAAGTTATTTTAAAATTAGTTATATTGTCTTAATAACCTGAAATAATTTTTTAAATTTGTAAAAAAAATATACTGTATAACTCGAGTGGATTGTCCATATCCACTCTTGTTGCACAAACTATTTTTTAAACTAAGTGTTCCTATTGTAATAATTATAAGTATGCTAATACTAGCCAATAACAATAATATTTTTTTATAGGGTGGTCACGAAAAAGGAGGATTCGTCAAAGGTGGCGAAGAATCGGCCCAACATGGCAAAAAACACCACTACGACAAAGGCGGTCATTACAAAGAAGGAAAAGGCCACAAAGGAGCGGCCGGTCATGATTCTCACTACGATCATGAACACAAAAAGGGAGAAAAGGAAGACAATTCTGGGGGAAAGAAATGGTCTTACAGTAAAGGAGATGGAGGTGGTGGTGGAGGAGGACATAAACATAGCGGAAAATATGAACACGCTGATTCTGTTAACATTCCTATACGTGTTGTACAACCAATTATTCGACATAAAGACAATGATGTACAAAGCAACATTCCTAAGTTAGTACTAGAAGAAGACGTAGACAATTTCAAGCAGCCTGATGTGATTTATCCACCTCTAACTCCACATGAATTTGTAAGAGGGCAAAGGAGGTATGATGAAGACCGTATTGTTATATCAAAACCTAATCATAAAAAAATAGTGGACGAAAGAATCAATATACAAAGAAGAAACGACGAAGTAGATGATGCTAATTACGAAGATGAAATAATAAATCCTGAATTAGAACGAAAACAAGCTCACACCAAAGATCACAGTATCTTCAGATCCGTATTAAATCGAAGCACAGACAATAAAATTGTTGACGAAGCAGACAAAAAATCTAAAGATTTAAACACAGAAACTACTAAGTTTAAATCGATAAATTCCGACTATTTAGACGAATATGATTTATTAGATGATAAAAAAAACGACGAGGTTGGAGTTTATAGTGTATACACTCTAGGTGACTACAGAGTACCAGCAGTGCCAAAAATTCAACCTACAACAGGAACCGAAGGATATGAAAAACTCAAAGACGTTGCGATTACTTCAGACTCTGCGGAATATTCTAGTTCTGAAGAAACAACAACGCAAAATCTACAAGAAGAATTAAATAGGACGATTCTAACAGATGATGACGTTGATGCGTCAAAAAAGGTTTCAAAAAATATACACGATACCAAAGAAATTGGACCGATTACAGCTGTTAGTAAAGACGTTGAAGATATTGAAGAAGATGAGGAACTTAGGAATGTGAAAGATACTGACGATAATGAGGAACTTAGAAATGTGAAAGATACTGACGATGGTGAGGAACTTACGAATGTGGGCGATACAAAAGTGTTGACAGCCTCAATGGAACCCATCGTGGTTGGTGACGAAGTTGAAGAAGAAAGTGAAAATTAAAAGTTTGTGATAATTAAAACGGGATTATTATTTATATTGTAATTTAAGTTTTGTTACATTGTTATTCTTGTTATTTTAATAGATTTTCGTTCAAGACTGCTATGGTGAAATTTTATTTTATTTGTCCGCTCTTTGTAGTTGAGTGCAGTGTAGGGTGGCATAATTT